CCACTTTTTGATGGGGTTATGTTTTTTCTTGAAAATTTTTTAGTTCTTTGTAGATTCTGGATATTAGCCCTTTGTTAGATGGGTGGCTTGCAAAAATTTTTTCCCATTTTGTTGGTTGCTGGTTCACTTTAATGATTGTTTCTTTTGCTGTGCAGAAGCACTTAAGTTTAATTAGATCCCTTTTGTCTATTTTGGCTTTTGTTGCCATTGCTTTTGGTGTTTTAGTCATGAAGTCCTTGCCTATGCCTATGTCCTGAATGGTATTGCCTATGTTTTCTTCCAGAGTTTTTATCGTGTTAGGTATTACATTTAAATCTTTATTCCATCTGGAGTTAATTTTTGTTTAAGGTGTAAGGAATGGGTCCAGTTTCAGCTTTCTGCACATGGTTAGTCAGTTTTTCCTGCCACTTCTAATCCATCTTCCACAGTGCAGCAAGTGATCTTTTCAGAGTACACATCTAATTGCATGACTCCCTGGTTTGTACGACTTTAGTGGCTTACATAAAGGTCAGAGTCCTTTGTAAGACCCACAAGCCATGCAGGTAACCTCCAGTGTACCTTTCTGATATGTTTTTCAGCTGAATTCCCCTTGTTCTCTCTCTTTTGGCTCTGTGGATATGGTATATCTTTTCTTGATGCATGGCATACAGGAGGAATTACTCTTAGGCATTGTGCTTTCTTTAGCATTCCTTTGTCTCTTAGAAAATCTTGTCCCAACTGCTTGCCCTTCACCTCCTATAGCAGTGTAGTTTTTTCTTAACACTTAGCTCAGGTGTAATTTTACATATATTATTGTAACATATTAGTGAAATAATTTGAGCAATCAGTAAAAGTGTATAAACCACTTGACTAATACTTGGGTTAGGTAACAAACTGGTTTCTGTATTAGTTCTATATAGTATGGGAGAGATTTTATGAATTTTCTTGAAATTTAATTGCATAGCGCTATAAAGCCTGCCAACAACTAGAAGATTCCATAGTGGACATTAAAAGTATACACTTGATTTTGGTTACCTAGTTATGTGGGCTGTGTACCCAAGAGAATCGGTTGGAATTTTGGAAATCTTTGAAGAAAACTTTTTAATGGAATAAATTTTAAATCAGATTCTTACATTTTTAACAGCAAAGTGACATCCAAAATTATTTCCTTGGAATTTATTCTGATTTTTAAGTTTAGAGTATTTAAAGGAAAGTAGTGTCTCTACCCTCCTTACTTTGAAAAAAATGTATGTATTTAGATTGGCAGAATATTTTATGACATGATTAGAATTGAGTACAGAAGAATTGGTGACCCTTGCACATTTGGGGATTTTATTTCCTTAATTTCCATTTCAATGCTATACATCTTTCCTGGAGCTTTGTTACTATGAATCATGGAATAAAATTAAGTTGATTCTGTATTCTTTTCTTCAACCCTACAATTTGGCAGTGAGAATATTTTTTTCCCTAAAAAATGACTCATTTATAAAGAGGTTTTCTGTGAACATGGAAAAGACTTAAATACTGTCAGAAATCTTGCAGATGGCAGTAGGGTGGATATTTGGACCTGCTAATAAATGCAAAATGGCAAAATTCATATTGACCAGTATTAACCAGTCAAAGATCATAGGAAAGTTACAGTTCTAAAATGAGACATGAAATGTGTGTTCTGAAAAATAAGAACTCAGTAAAGTATATGAAAAGCTTATTTTTTGGCTTTTATTTTAAGGTACTTTTCATTCTTTAAGGTTGACCCGGCTATGAGTCAACCAATGTTTTATTTCTTTTTCCTCTTGGAAATTGTTCTGTGTTGTAATATTCCCCCTTTTAATCTTTATTTTCCTGGTTTTTAGTCCAAAATTTGTTTTCTGAATTTCATTCTCTTTCTTCTGGGGTTTTGCCCTAGGATTCCCCCAGCTTGGATGTCGTTTGGTTTTCTTTATTTTGTTACTAAGCATATTTCCTCTAGCTTCTAAAACAACATTTGCATTTCTTTCTGCAATTAGTATTTTAAGAATGCATTTAATTGTAACCTTAAAAATATACGTATCATAACATTCTCAAATTCTGAGAAGTACTTATTATTCTTATACTGTAATATAAGAAAGAGAGCCATTATGAAATACACCGAGGCCATGTTTGCATGTTTAGCATTAGGTCTGTATAACGCTGCAAAGAGTTAAATCGTAAAGATGATTGACTGGACCTGCCATTCTCAAAGTACTAATGGTGGCTGATAAGGCTGTTGAATAACATTCTGCAGAAGTATTCTTGTGGTTTTGTACAATACTCATTGAGTCTGAAGAAAAGAAAGAAACTCACATTTATTGAGTACCTAATATCCGCCAGAATCTTCACCTGTGACTCCATTTGTTTCTTTTCAAAAGTGAAGTGGATGATAATATCAGTTTATGGTAAGAAACTAAGTCTTTACTAGGCAAAGTGATTAGCCAAAATCTCATAGAAAGTAAAAGGAAGAGCAAAAAGTCAGGGCAAGGTCTTTTCCAATTTCAAATTCATCGTCTTTCCACTTCACTGTGTTGCCTCCCAGGATTTGGGGATTGATGACTCTGCCTGAGGTCACATTATGAGTCAGAGGTAAGTTGGGAACACAATTAGGGCATCTCCATGTTGTTTTAATCTGTAAAATGCAGTGTGTCCTCTATAACAAACACATCAACTTTTTCGAAGAGGAGAGACAGCATAGCAGCATTTACTCTTTTATGAAAGATTAATTTTCTTAAAAACGTAGTAAGGCAGATATGACATCTGGCTTAACTTTTGAAAAACTGTAAAAGAAAAATAATTCATTAAATGTGAACTTTGTAGATGATCACCATTTTGATCAATAGCCAATTTCCATGGTAACTTTCTTTTGAGGAATTTTATGAACATTCCTTTTCTCTGGGTACTCAGATTTCTAAACAATTTAAAAATAGTCTTGTAAAATGGATTTCTTTGAATCCAATGAGTCAATCTACAATGATCAGATCTGACCCACCATGAAGCCCTTTCTGATAGAGAATGTTCCCACTGACTCTATCAACTTACTAGCTGTGTAACTTTGGGCAAGTTACTTAACTTCTGTGCCCTAGTTTCCTCATCTGAAAAAAAGATAATTTAGAACCTATATTATAGAGTGGTTATAAGGAGGAAAGTGAATTCTAGATTTGTTAATTGCTATCAGTGACAGAGTTGAGCTTGAACTCCAGGCCTATCTGATTCCAAAGTGGCTGAGGGAAGGAGATTCAGTGATAACTAGAGTAGTAGACATACAGGACTGAGCAAGGTCTGTGCAAATTGAATTTCTTCTTTCTTTTGAGTAATCTTGAGAACAGGAAACATGAGATTACTAAATGTTTGCATTTTGTCCTGAAAACTGCCCAAACATAACATGATTTGTTGAGGAAAGATTTTTTTTTTTTACACATTTGTGTATAGCGTTGATGACTTTAAATGATTCCAATCAATGTTTTATCAGCAGCAGTGTGCCAAACAGTGTGTTTATTGCCAAAAATACAGAAATGAATTAAATCTGGTCTTTTATCTCAAGGGGACTCATAACCCCGTGATGGAGACAGTGCTAGTCTAGCAGATGATAGGTTGGAAAAATGCACATTGTTTTGTCTGGAGTATGGAGAGGTTGATAATCAGACTCACTGTTCCCTGATGAGGTGCAATGGTTAAGGATTGGGCAAAGGGACTGAAGAAAAAAGTGTGAATCTGAGAAGTTATGGAGAAATCATTGCAATATATTCTATGAAGAACTGAGTAGAGTATGAAGGAAAGGATGATGGTTGGTGATAAAAATTGTATAGTCATTGTCATTCTGGAAGTAACTGAGAAGGCACTTTACACAATAGAAAATGTAAGTGCATGTAACAGGAGAAAAACAATAACCTAAGACTGATCTTTCAGAGACAACTCGTTATTACTAGAGGTAGCAAAGAATATTAGAAAGCATATTTGAAAATGTGAATAGAAAAACAGGGAATTATTATGTCTCTAAAACAGTTAAAAATATATTGACAGGTGAGTGGATGAATGTGAAGACCAATGCAGACACCCATGAATAGCCACATAGAAATGAAGCTTTTAGATTTATGAATGAAGATGTAATTGGAAACATTAATGAGATCTGTGTTAACATAGTTGACAATGAAGACTCGTACTTAAACAGTAAGATCTAAGAAAAATGGAACCTGAATAGAGAATATGAGAATGATGGAATTTGATAGTGGTTATTATGTTTGTAGGTACCAGATGGTAGTCCATTAACCTGACAGTGAGCCCTAAGAAAACTAGATGAATGTTTAGGGCCTACAAGTTAATTTGGAGACTTTAGCTGCCATGTACTAAACGAACAATAAGTAGTTTGCCTCTGTCTAAAAAAATTGCGCTATTTTACTAAAGTTCCAGCTTTTGTGAAGGGATGTCTAAGAAGCAGTGGAGATAAGAGTGACTTCTCTCTTTCCTCTCCCCTAAGCAAACAGCCCAGCCTTGGGGGACCATAGGGCTTATATTGCAACTACCTTCTTGCATTTAACATCAGCAGCTTTCTAAAATGAGTAATCTAAAGACTGAAGAATAGCATTAATCAAGGGTTAATTTATTCTAGGGATTAACTCAGATGGCCATTTATTAGTTTATTAATACATACGTATTTGTTTAATCCTCCAATCTCTTGAGGTGTTTCTCTCTTGGATATGTTGAATATGTTTCTAATGAATCCAGTGCATTTCTTAAGAAAGAAGGAAAATTAAATCTCCTCTTAATATTTTCTAAATATTTTTATTAATCTACAAATATTTAGGACTATATACTTTTTAAAGAATATCAAAGTGTATAAAGATCAAAGGGTATGCATTCCTTATTAAGCATTTAACACTGTGTTATTTTGGAGCTGTCTGTAAGTGAAGTTTTAGGTGGGAGAAACGAGATAAGAGTGAATTCCAAAGCAGAGAACTTCTCTTGGTGAATATAATGAAATATTAATTTTTAATTTTTAAATTTTTCTTTAGGGACATCAGGGAATTGCAGGGACACCAGGTGTTCCAGGAACTCAAGGAATACAAGTATGTGATCCATTTATACATTTTATAAATTTTATTTTTAGTGAACTGCAAACTATTATTAACAAAATTTTATTTTGTGGTTAATTTAGGGAGCTCGAGGACTACCAGGTTACAAAGGAGAACCAGGAAGAGATGGTGACAAGGTAAACACACACACAAATGCAATCAGTGGTTTTAATTCCTCAAAGATAAAGGACGTTAGCTATGATGGCTTCCATTCAGTGGTCTTCACCTTTGTGAATTCTAAGATTTGTGGGCTCAGAAATTTGTCAGTGGCTATTAGCCAATAAAGCTTATAGAAAGCTTTTAAGGAAGTCATCACTGACCACTGTCAAATGAAATAGACATTGGTATTGCCCTATGCCATGTTCTGTCCCTGTGGTTAAGCTCTACAGGGAGCTACCTTCTTAGAGGGGAGTCAGCTATGTGAAAAAAATGTGTTATCATGTTAGCCTCAGATAGCCCAATACCCAAGGGACCATCTCCACAATAGGTATCTCTCTGGTATGTGGCCTATTGGCTCAGCCTTAATGGACTTCACCCTTAGGGCTTCAATGAATACAGATAACATTTCTATTACTGACTTTTTTTTTTTTTTTTAACAACTCTGAGATTCTCCAAGCTTCCTGTGAAGTATATGTTCATTAAATATGCTAGTACTTTCTCATGGATCCAATCAGCACCTACTGGTGGCTAGTCTATGGCCAAGATGCCCAGTTATATTTGTTCAGATCCCCATGTTGATTTGTTAGGTTAATTCTTAAAATACAATCTTGTTTTCAAGTCTTTGAAGGCATTTTGCTGTTTGCTTATGATAGAAACCTGTAGTAATTTTCTAACTGTCATCCTTGAAAAATTCTTGCGTTGTTAGAATTTACACATATACTAATGTGCACAGTATTTACATCTGAAACACTGATCTAGACTGTATCCATTTTATGATTGTATGCATGCTTATGTTGGTTGCAGAAAATTATAGCTGTTAAAAGTACCATCTCAAGTCTGATGGATCTGTTTCTTTCAAACTATTTGATGTGGAGCAAGTTGCTTAATGTCTCTGAATCTTATTTTGTTTATTTACAAAATGGGGATTTTTTAATAGGTTTATTGTGAGGGTTAAATGAGATAATACATGAAAACTACACAGTGTGGTTTCTGGAAGAGGGTTTTTCTTAAATAAGTGGTTCTTTTCGTGATTCTGTTTTGTTCATCAGGTAGCATGGTTGCAGTTGGGATGTAGCATAGTTTGGTCTGGCACCGTGTCTTGAGCAAGTCATGGCTGAGAGCATTGTCATCAGGGCAAATAGAACAGTGAGTGACTGGAAAAGAGGTAGAGAGAAAATGGTATAGGTAAAGGCAGAGTTATAAGGAGAATTAGAGGAGGTAAAGCAGAAGCAATAGTTGGTATAAATGCCAGAGAAGAAGTGTAAAATCCTTATTTCTACTAAGTGACCCCCAGCCCTCCATGAGACTTTTAGCCACTAAACACTTTCTGCCAGTTTTAAATGTTGGAGGAATCTATAGAGAGAGTAGGGAGGAGGCCAGGCCACAGGCATGGGATGTATCTTAAAGACTTGTGCTTTGGAGGTATCATAGGAAACAGTCCGACCTTCTTCAGGTGAAGGGGGATTGATTGCACTGGCAGGGTGGGGACACATTCTGAGGAGACCAGGTACCAGGCACCTACCTTCTAGTCTACAGGATTGTAGTTGTCTGTCTTCTCAGAAATAGCCTGATTTTGGAGAAGAAAGGTATGAAAACATATATGTTGGAATGAATGAATAAATAAACATATTATTTTCCTTTTGGTTGAGTGTTTTAATTTATATTTGACAGATAAAATTGTATATATTTTTCATGTACAACATTTATTAAAGTATATATTGTGGAATGACTAAATCTAGCTAATTAATATATACGTATATATAAAACTCACATAAATATCATTTTTGTGGTGAGAACACTTTACATTCACTCTCTTAGAATTTTTCAATAATACAATAATATATAATATAATTAACCCTAGTCACCATATTGTACAAAAGATCTCTTGAACTTTCTCATAGCAAGCTTAAATTTTGTATCTTTTGGTCAATGTCTTCCCAATCCCCATCCTCCCATCCACCCCAGCCTCTGGTAACTACCCCTCTACTTTCTATTCCTATGAGATCACATTTTTCAGTTTTCACATATAAGTGAGATAATATGGTATTTGCCTTTCTGTGTCTGACTTATTTTGCTTAACAAAATGTCTTACATGTTCATTCATGTTGAAAATGTCGGGATTTCCTTCTTTTTTATAGCTGAGTAGTAGTCCATTGTGGATATGTACCACAATTTCTTTATCCATTCATCCATTGATAGAACTTAGGCTGACTCCATGTCCTGGCTACTGGGAATAGCGCGGCTATAAAGATGGGAGTGCAGGTATCTCTCCAACATACTGATTTTATTCTTTAGTTGAGTTTTACACACTGTAGATAAAAAGGGGGATTTTATTTGTACATCTTAAAATAATGGAACTAAATTTTTATGGGAATAAATATTCCTTATTTTAAAATAATAGAATAATAATAGTTCTACTAGTGGCATCTTATGCTAACTACTTTATTGTTTGGGGTCATTGTGTTGTCTTTTAAATATAGGTGTGAATTTTACAGTGTCTTACATTCTGTTGGATAAGATAAATAGGATGTATATTTATGCAAAGGTCTCTGTTCTCAGACTAGTCATGGATTTTATTTAGAGTTGATTGTTTTCTGAAGTTCATTGTTGGGGTTAAACTCTGATCTGACAGAGTCATTGCGGGTCTAAAATCACCATGTGCTATCTTCCAAGTTTCCGCCTCACATTCCATGTGGCTTTTGGGAGTTCTCTGCCCAGATCTAAAATAATTTAGTAAGTTAATTGAAGGTTTTTCCTTGATTATTCCTTTATAATATGGTTCCTTGATTTTTGAAAATGAAGGGTTAAAAAACATATCACTGAGACGACTTTGACTTGTGGCAGTGCAAGATACTTTTCCAGGCATCACGCAGTGGCCTTTGAAAGATTGTTTCACACAATACTGTTCTCCATTAGGATATTTTCCCAGAATAATTTCCATTTTGTGGGTTTTCTCCGAAGACTCCTACCATAGGAATTTCCACTTAGATAATTGAAATTAGATGTGCTTTCTTGCTGACTTCAACATTTGTTCTTCACATATCGCACAACAGAATGTGTATAGACTTTGCAGAGTTTTTTTTCCCCCCTCAATTTACAAAATCAAAGGAAAAGTTACTCAGCAAATAGTCTTCAATTGGTAACTCCTTTTATTACATGTTTTAAAGCTATTCTTTGAAATCTAAAAAATGCTTTTAATACTTTAAAATACTTCCTCAGTATTAAACTAATATTTAAATTATATGGAGAAATATTTTTTGCTAAACGTTACATTAGGCTCTGCTGGTTAATGGTTATTTTTTGTTAAAACTTACATTAGGCTATGCAGGCTATGCTGATAGGTATTTATGAATTTTCAAATTGAGTATGACACTGTTTATGGCAAATTCAATTTTAGAGATGTAGGAAATATGAGTTATTTATTTTTTAACTTATCCAGACTACAAATTCATGACTTGATTTTTCTGGGCTTTAGAAATAAAATGTCATAATTATATCTAAGGTATTATTATTATTGGACAAATTATAGATTTTATTTTCTTTGTTAGTACATTCAACTTTTAAGTGGTCCCTTCAAAACCTCACTTTCCCATTGTTCTCAGCACCCAGACTGGAGCATCATGTGATGGGTAAGACTTCCCTATCTGAATAAAGTTCCTTACATTTGGGCTTCAAACCTCAAAAAACTAAGTGCTTTTAGAGTGGTTTCTATTATAGAGTCGGTCATAGCCAAGGAACTCCAAAATATATTTTGAAAGAATATGGGTAAAAAAGGCAAGTGTTAAAACTTAGTATGTTAGTGGTATTACTTCCTTCCTTGAAGACCAAACAAACAAAAATGAAAAAACAGAGAGAGAGTCTACCTGTATAATTTTCTGATAACACCATGCCTAAGCACTTGTGTGTGTGTGTGTGCACTCACGTGTGCACATGCATGCATGTGTATGAGATTTGGGAGCTTAAAGCAGTTACAGGTTATAGGCTTAGCTTTGAATTCAGACTGCTTGCCTATCAAGTCACACTTCTTAATCTCTTTAAATCTGGTTTTTATCTTCTGGAAAATGGAAGCCATAGTGTTACTTACTGCATAGGCTTTTTGTGAAGATTAAATGAGGGCATGCATGTGGTTGGCCTAAATGAAGTGCTATAAATTGGTGATAATAGTGACAATGATTCTGATTTGTTATTGGGGCTGTCATTCTGGTGATTACTTAAGGCAAAATTTTTGAAACTGTCTTTGAGTTATTCTTTATCCTTCCTCTCTCTGTTGAAGTGCTGCATCTGAAACAATCAGAAATTCCCTAAATGTCTTCCCACTGTGTCTACCTTCTTACTTGTATATGTACCTATACTCTGCCTTTCCTCCTCTTACTGTGGGTGAAGTGTCCATGTGTAGTCCGCAGGCCTTTCTGCCACTCTGGACCCATCTTTCTTCATTACTTTGTGTTATTAACTAGCTCTTCTCTTTTCTAGTTAAATTTTCCCAATAACCTAGTGAACGATCCATTTGAAACCACCCAAACATCCCCACTTCCTCTACCACATAGCTTCCTTTACCTACCACGCCATTTCTTCGTTTCTCATTATAGTGCAAGTGCTCTAAAAGGTTTGCCTTTATTCTCTGCACATTTTTACTTCCATTTCTCTCTCTGACCCATTCTAGAAGGACTTCCATCCCAACCTTCTGCAGCATATTTAGATCACCAGTCTACCATCTTTGAAATCCGTTAGCATTTTTCAATGATTTCTTCTTGTCTTGCTGTATGTTTCCACAGCATTTGACACTGTTGACTACTCCCTCCTTCTTGGGACAACTTCTTCTCTTAGCTTCTGGAGAAGAGAAGCTTCTCTAGAGAAGCTGCTCCTAGATTTTTCCTGGCTGTCGCTAGTTACCTTTTCATGTTTTCTTGTTGGCTCTTTCTCCTCCTCCTCCACACATTCCCTAAATGTTGGGGTGCCTCCAGGATTCAGCCCTGTC